GGTTAGTGAGAAACCAGCCTTGCCTCCAGCTGAACTTGTGAACCATTGAACTAGAAATCCACCTGAAACAGTCAACGGAATTATTAAACCTTGACTGTGCACCAGAAATACCCATGTTTGTGAGCTGTGGACTTCGCTTCCTTGACGTGAAAATAAATGCACACTTGGCTTGTAAATCCACTGAACATTTACAAGATTGATTTTAATTTTTGAGAAAATAGTTTGCATTTATACAGCACCCTTTTCATGAGTTTAGGATTTTTCACGATTTTAGGACTTTCCAATGCACTTTTAAGTGCAGTCATTATTGTAATGTAGGAAATGTGGGAGACAGTTTGCACGCGGCAGTGTCCCACGATCAGAGCTAAATGATGGGTTGCTACAACTTGGTGTTCATTTGGGGATAAACTTTGAAAATGGGAGATAAGTAATTTTCCTTCTAACCGTGCTGTGTTCTTTTATCTGTTGGTGAGGAAGTAGCTCATCATCAAAGATAGCATCTCTGATGTTGTAGCTCTTGCACAGTAAACCACTTTGGAATGGCAGCTTGAACTTGTGTTCCCAATCCTGTGTGGAGGCATTTGGGCCAGGAGCAGGCAGGTGGGACTAGCTTAGTTTGGGATTATGTTTGGCATGGACTGGTTGAACCGAAGGGTCTGCTTCCGTAATGTAAGACTCTATAAAACTTTCCTATTTTAACAATGCCCAGTCCCAAGAATGCAGTCTTTCCATTATTTGATTTATTTATTGTCCTATGTGTCTTGTAACAAAATACAGCGAAAAGTATTGTATAGTGTGGCCACTCTGTGGTGCCATCTTAAAACACAAAAAAAAATGAAATGCATAAAAATGAAGAAACCAAGTGTCCAACTTCATGGGTCCTTGTTAAGTACCCCATCATGGGCCTGGTGGACAGGCACGAGTCCCCTTTGCTGCACCACTACAGCTGGAATGATAGTCACCACTCCTCAGTGCCGTCTTACCTCCACCAACGCCCTCGCCACTGAGTCCTTGCTGGACCTTGCCAATGCTGCCAGGTACCGAACCAGCCCAACCTCTACTTTGCCATCACCAGGGAACTCTGGAGAAACCACTAGATCCGAAGGATGATGATGAAATCGAGATGCTGTGTGATGGCCTACCAAAGTTAGTCTGAAGCAGCATTCAAAGGTTTCAGGGAATTTTTTTCCCTGAGAAGCTCCGACCATGGTGGGTAAAATCAAGGGGATGAGCAATTTATGAAAAGTTGTGCCCCATAAGTAGAATCGGCAGAATTGGTGAGGAGCTGCTCCTCCAGTCATAGACTATATGTTTTTCTTCCATGTTCACTCTGAGCTGCAGATGTTGGAGAGAGCTAGGCTGCTGTTGGAGGAAGGAAAAAAAAAAGTTAGGTTTTGATGAGAAAGTCACAAAGGTTGATTTTTTGCTAAGGCAAAAAGGGAATCCTCGCGAGGTCAGGGAGGGAGTCTTTGAAATGTCTTGTCGTGCGGTGAGGTCAGCCATCTGCTTGGTACTGGATGTGTGGGGAGTGTAGGAAAAGGGGCAGTTCTTGCATTATGCTAGATCAGGAGGAGGTGCCTGCAGTATTTTGTCTGCAAGGTCTGGGGCAGTGCATTATGTTGGGTTGGAGGTACAAGACTTCTGCCATGGGGGAGGTAGCAGCTGCAAGAGTGAGGATAAAAGAAGGAGGTTCATTAGAGAGATGAGGGTGTGAATTAGGCTCACGAGAATCAGACTCCAGGTGGGTAGAGGTGAGAAGTGAGCTTCAGGAGGGGACGTTTAGTTGAAAAGCAGGCTGTCGGGATACTGCAGAGTTACAGGTGGTAGACACTAGAAAGAGGCTGCAAAGGAGAGAACACATTCCTTTATACCTGCCAGGAAAGGAATACTCCGCTAACTAGAGGGCAGGAAACCTTTTAAGTGACTGGCTAAGAATTCCTTGCAAATTTTTGTGGAATCTCTCTATTCAAGGCCGCTTAAGTTCAAGAATCACCACATGGGGGAACACAGGCAATGGGTGCTGCTGTTATGAACTGTGTGTCAATGGTGAAATTTAAATTCGAATTGAGATCTGGGATGCAATTGACTACCTGGTGAAAATGTTCCAACTTTGTGTCTATTTGATGGAAATATGTTTGCTTTCAACATAGCAGTCTGTGGATGGTGTGTTTGAGAAATGGTTTCGTGGAAGTATGCCTGCTACTTTAGGGGACGAAGTTATGCCTGCTAGCTTGTCGATTCGGTTACTATCTAGGAAATCTAACTACTTATTCAATGCATCTGCTATAGTTCGGTGGTAGCATAATCTTTTTTTTGCCCCTGTCACATGCATGCGCCCTCGCTTCCTTCCTTCATCAGAAGATTGTGGATAGAAATCCCACTCCAGAGAGTATGCAATATAGGTGGCTGTTCCAGTATTGTACTGCTGGCGACACTATCTTTCAGATTAGACAGTAATTGGAGACCCTCCATGTACTTCATTTGGAGGTAAATCATCCACGTGACTTTTTTTTTGAAAAGAACCGAGGCGTTCCCCCTGGTGTTCTGGTGAATATTTAACCTTCAATCAACATCAGTGAAATGGATTATCTATATATCCTTGTCAGTTCTTTCTTTAACTGAGAAGCAACTGAGAAAATAATCCAAGCCCAAATATAATGTCTTGATTCACCAGTGCCAGATTCCACTTTATTTGCAATATTTGACTTTCTTTGGAGATGAGAATTTGGCACATGGTAATGATTTAATGTAGAGATAGTAAGAACTCCAGCCGATGCTGGAGTTAGAGATAACAGTGTGGAGCTGGAGGAGCACAGCAGGCCAGGCAGCATCAGAGGAGCAGGAAAGCTGATGTTTTGGGTCGGGACCCTCCTTCAGAAGAAGATTTCTGAAGAGGGGTCCTGACCTGAAACAGCAACTTTCCTGCTCCTCTGATGCTGCCTGGCCTGCTGTGTTCCTCCAGCTCCGCACAATGACTTAATGTAGTTTTGTGTGTGGACTTGGCAACTATTGGAAATTGCATCACGATTACCCACAGTTGTTTCACTTGAGACTTCCTTAGTCTTGGTCTTTCTTAATCAGCATGGTCTAATTTCAAACCAAAGGCCTTGAGGTAAAAGTATGATGTACACTGCTAATGCAAACATCAAACTAAATTTCTTTCACTGTAGATGCTCATTTTTACTTGTAGCCTGCTCTAGTTTGAGTATAGTTTCTTTGTAAACTTTCTTTTGTTGACTTATTAAAAATATCTTGAAATTTTAAATTGCGTAATTTATAGTTTCAAGGTGGTTTTACACCTGTGCCATGCTTTGTGATCATTGTTTGACATAGTAAAACATTGACTGTCTTTGTCCAGTGATTCCACTTTCCCTATTAAGCAGCGAAAGAGAAGATCCATGATGTGTTGCAGAATGAGAGAAGTGAATAAAATTATCAGAGCTCAGCAGCTAAATTGCGGAGTTTGCAAAGGCAGTTAGTTGAGATCAGGGGGAGAGGCGGAAGCAACTCTGCTTTGAGCTAAATTTAACTGTTGCAATCCATTGCACTCTAAATAGTTCAAGAAAGTGTTCTTGGTAAAAAGAACTTGCATTTGTATAGTGCTTTTTAGATCATGGGACAGCGCAATATTTCACGGCTCATTAATTACTTTAGTATTGTCACTTCCATTTGCACACAGCAAGGTATGATGAACAGTGGTGTGATCAGAGAATGGAATGAAGAACATACGTTTACATAATTTCAAGACCTCAGGACATTTCAAAGAAATTCACAGCCAACAAAATACTACTTGAAGTGCAGCAGCTGTTGTGTTGTAGGAACATGCAACAGCAAAGTCGACACAACAAGATGTAAAGAGCAATTAACACAAACTGCTGATTCAACGTATGAAAGCGCGTATGCTGACAGAACAGGATTTCTGTTTTTTTTTAAAAGTTCTGTAATATATTTGAAGGAAAGTTGGAAGGCTCCCCCCACCACCCCCATCCCCTGCACTAAGACGACCTGGGCCATTATAGAGCAGTCAAGTTTATAACTTTGAAAACTTGAGTCTACAGTCATCTAGCTCGCGAGAGGGTGCAACCTGTTTGGGCTGATCTGCTTTGTATAAATGCTTCCAGGCTGTCGGTGAAAACAGCTGGACAGGCTGGAGTACTACCAAATACAGATCTCTATTTTTTTGAATGAATGTTTTGAGAACTTTGTCTGAAAGGTAAATATGATGCCTAATTCTTTAAAGCGAATCTATCATTTTAAACCATTTCTATACTTCAGACTGTGGAACTGCTAATTCGGGCTTTCCATGAATTTTCATTAACAAAATGTAAGATTTAGCAGAAGTGAAACCAAAAAATTATGTCCCAGTGAACATTTAGCTGCTCCCTTTCCCAGTGGGATTTGGTAAAGGGTCGTAACCATAGTGACATTAAATCTGAATAATTCCTCTACAATGATTTTGAACATGAAGCAAAGGCAGAGCACCATACAGAGAATGAGAACATAGGATCTGTTATGTTAATACTGGATAATATTCAGTACATGTATGTTTATGGAAAATGAGGACTACCCTGTTAGCAACAGATCATGTGCCCCCTCCAGTTCTGTCAAGCTTAATAAAACTGTGATCTTCCTATGGTGAAGTATTGTTCCATAAAACATAGTGAAGTCATTGTGTTGAAGTTGAAAATATTATGTACTTTATTCAGCATCAACTTTTCTGTTGTTCTGAATTGCTCGAATGTATTTTAGATAGTAACATGAAAGTGAAATTGCATTGTAAGATCTGTACGTTTCCAAAGCGGATTATTGTGCTAATTGCTTTTAACAAGTTGTGTATATCCTACCAAATGAAAATGATCTCCGAAGAATAAAATATTCAAATTCAAGTAAATTAGCTCTGCAATAATTAGCAATTCACATTAATAAGACACTATTAAATGATCAATGTTGTTAACTGTTCTTTGCCTTGAGCACTGATGTGTTCATTTTCTTTACCCTAGGAGATGGAATTCCCAAAGAAAGCAGTCCTTTCATCAACAGTACCGACATTGACAAAGAAATCATGTATGAGGGAAAAAACTTGGCGCTTTTTGAGGTAAATTGTGTCTTTTTGCTGCATAATCAATTTTAATGTAAAGGACAACAACTTGCATTTTTATAGTACTTTTAATGTCATGAGATGTCCCAAGGCATTCCAGGAGCATAATCAAACAAACAATGACATCAAACGACATATATTCTAGGTGATTAAAAGCTTAGTCAATGATACAGGTTTTGACAAGTGGTTTTAAAGGAGGAGAGAGTCAGAAGGATGATCCAGAGCTTTGGGCTTCAAGAGCTAGAGTATTGGAAGCCAATGATGGAGTCATTTGGAATTAATTGTAATGGAGGCCAGAAATTGAGTACAGAAATCTTCAACGGGTTGGGGGAGTTTGAAGGTAGGAGTGGTCATGGCCATATAAAGATTTGACGATGATTGTCATCTTAAAGTTGAGGTGTTGCTTGGTAGTTATTTGGTATTGCTTGCCAGATTTGTGAAGAATGATTTGAGTGCAGATCCAGATATGGGCAGCTGAGGTTTGGCGTGTGAAAAGACAGGAATACATGTGAATGTTAGGGGTTGGGCAATTAAAACCAAGATCGACGTGATCATGTTTTGAATGGGTCCCTTTGGAATGCTGGAATTTGCAACAGAATTTAAAGCTGCTTCCCAAGAACTGTGGTTAGCTACAGTTAAGATGTCCTGATTTTTCATTTCCATAATAGTAGGCAGCTGATCTAATGCAAGTTTGTACCCAGCCCAGTTAAAATTTGCAGACCATGGATTAAAACTATTATCATTCAGTCTCTGGGTTTGTAAGTGACCTGTATGGCCAACGTTTATTGCCTTGACGATGGGATTGTGGCCATTCTTAAACCTGATAGTAAAACAATGCAACTATATGGATTATTAAGCAGAGAGCAATCTGGTATATATCTGAGACAACAAGGTGTCGAGCTGGATGAATACAGCAGGCCAAGCAGCATCAGAGGAGCAGGAAAGCTGACGTTTTGGATCTAGACCCTTCTTCAGACAAATTGTATTTGCTTCTGCTTTGTTTTTAAGAACTTAACACAACTTTGAAACATTTCATGACATAGAACAAGTGTAGATTTTACATCCAACCTTTAAAAATAAATGACTAGCCCTGCTGCGAGATCTGGATGGGAAATTGAGGGGAAAAAAAGCATGAAGACCGATTGCTAAATATGCCACTGATGCAACATAGCTGGATTATAAACTCCGATGGCTCATTTGTTGAAAGCTGTGACTAATTTTGAGTTCAACCATAACAGAAGGTCTCATGCATTCGTTTTGCTTTCCTGACCTTGACCAGCCCATGTTCGAATTGGTCTTTCATGACCCAAGGAGAGTAACTAAATAAGTTGAAATTTTGCATGTTATTTGTGCCCATTCCTCCTGTTGGAATTGCTTTGTGTGGCTGTTGCAAGGATGGGATGCAATATTGTGTACTCTCTTGCACATCGGCAGTCGGATAGCTTTGCAACTCGTACTTAAAAGCATATGCTGCAAGTCCATGTTGGGAGGTATCTTGGATGCTGAAGTGGAGATTCAAGATGATCTTTGATAAGCTTAAAAAGAAATTGTGAATCAACTTAGTCAGCCTTGCAGTACATTACATGTGAGGCGATCTAGTCTTAAGATTTCAACAAAAAGGACTAATGAGGGGAGGAGGATAATTAGATCAGAAAAGCTCAGCAAGTCTGGCAGCATCTGTGGAGGAGAAAACAGAGTTAACGTTTCGGGTCCGTTGACCCTTCCTCAGAACTGATGGTGGCTGGGAAAACGTCAGTCTATATGCAGAAAATAGGGAGGTGGGTGGGGTAGGGAGTAAACGATAGGATAGAGCCCAAAGAGAGAGAAAGACAGTTGGATGGACAAAGGAGTTGCTAACGATCAGGCTGGGAGGGTGAATAGTTGTTAATGGGGGCTGTTAGTGACTAACAACAGTGGGTGTGTAGTGGCAGGCTATGTGGTAACAAGGCCTGGTGTGTGGGGTGGGGGGCTGGGACATGGGAGAGTTTAGGCCGTAAAATTATTGAACTCAATATTGAGTCTGGAGGGCTGCAGGGTCCCCAAGCGGAAAATGAGGTGTTGTTCCTCCAGCTTGCGCTGGGCTTCACTGGAACACTGCAGCAAGCCGGAGACAGATGTTGGCCAGGGAGCAAGGTGGTGCATTGAAGTGGCAGGCAACAGATAGTTCAGGGTCTTTTTTGCGAGCAGAAAGTAGATGTTCTGCGAAGCGGTCGCCAAGTCTGCGCTTCGTTTCCTCAATGTAGAGGAAACCACATTGTGAGCAGCGAATGCAGTAGACTAGATTCTTGGAAGTGCAGGTGAAGTGTTGCTTCACCTGGAAGGTATGTTTGGGCCCTTGGATACTGGGGAGGGAGGAGGTAAATGCGCGGGTGTTGCACCTTCGCTGGTTACAGGGGAAGGTGCTGTAGGGTTGTGGGGGGGTGTTGGGGCTGAAGGAAGTATGGACCAGGGGACCCGGAGGGAACGGTCCCTGCGGAAGGCGGACAAGGAAGGGGAGGGGAATATGTTTCTGGTGGTGGCATCTTGCTGGAGGTGGCGGAAATGGCGTCTGATGATCTGGAAGGGGAATGCTGGTGGGATGGTAGGTGAGGATAAGGGGAACCCTATTGCTGTTGCGGGAAGGAAGAGAAGGGGTACGCTCAGTTCTTTGTCACCCCCAACACCACCCCACAGCCCTACGGCACCTTCCCCTGTAACCGGCGAAGATGCAACATCTGCGCATTTACCTCCTCCCTCCCTCCCTCCCCAGTATCCAAGGGCCCAAACATACCTTCCAGGTGAAGCAACACTTCACTTGCACTTCCAAGAATCTAGTCTACTGCATTCGCTGCTCACAATGTGGTTTCCTCTACATTGGGGAAACAAAGCGTAGACTTGGCGATGGCTTCGCAGAACATCTACGTTCTGCTCGCAAAAAAGACCCTGAACTACCTGTTGCCTGCCACTTCAATACACCACCTTGCTCCCTGGCCAACATCTCTGTCTCTGGCTTGCTACAGTGTTCCAGCGAAACCCAGCGCAAGCTGGAGGAACAACACCTCATTTTCCGCTTGTGGACCCTACAGCCCTCCGGACTCAATATTGAGTGCAATAATTTTACGGCCTAAACTCTCCCATGTCCCAGTCACCCATCCCACACACCAGGCCTTGTTACCACATAGCCTGCCGTTACACACCCGCTGTTGTTAGTCACTAACAGCCCCCATTAACAGCTATTCACCCTTCCAGCCTGATCGTTTGCAACTCCTTTGTCCATTCAACTGTCTTTTTCTCTCTCTTTTTGGGCTCTATCCTATCGTTTACTCCCTACCCCACCCATTTCCCTATTTTCTGCATATAGACTGACGTTTTCCCAGCCACCATCAGTTCTGAGGAAGGGTCAACGGACCTGAAACTTTAACTCTGTTTTCTCCTCCACAGATGCTGCCATACCTGCTGAGCTTTTCCAGCAACTTTGTTTTTGTTCCTGATTTACAGCATCCGCAGTTCTTTTGGTTTTTATAATTAGATCAGAGTTTGATTACATAATTCAGACTCATCTCGAAAGTAATTGTCTGTCATGATTATTTTCTCTTAAATTCTTTTGTTCTCATTTATAAAAGGAACTGTCCATGTCAACTTGCAATGCTGTAATTAGACTCTGCAGCCAGTAGACACTGTCTATTCTGGGTCAGTGTTATAATATGTAACGAAATGTAAATTCGGAAGGATCATGATGATGTCATTAACTTAGCAATAGGAAATGACATGCTGTTTAGCAGTCATTCTCACAACTCCTCTTCCAAACAATTTCGATCTTTCTTGACCTCCATGTATTAAAAGTATGTTTCTTGTATTTGAAATTTGTCATTTTGCTCTTTTTTTTCCCTTCTCATCTGGCCGATTTAGAGTGCAGAACTGCACAAAACCAACATCTACCATTTCTTCAATCAGAGTGCGAGGGATTTGATTAACAAGTACTGGACTACATTGGTTCTGTACCTCTTTCATCGCCAGTAGCTGAGATGGGGCGAGACAGGGTCATGGAGGGAATTTAAAACCAGGATGAAAAATGTAAAAATCCAGGAATTGGTTGACCAGGACCCAATGTAGGTCAATGGGGGAGTGAGACTAATTGTGAATTGAGAGGGGACAGCCTAGTTTTTGATGGCAAGCTAGTGTGTTGCGGCAGTGGACTATTTTCTGTGCTATCAATATCCTTCTGTACTGTGTATTTAGGAAAATATACTTTGTGTTGATTGTAGTGAAAATTAAAAGTGATCATCTTGATCTTCCTCAACAGGAAGAAATGGACAGAAACCCAATGGTTTCCTCCCTGCTTAACAGGCTGGCAAACTACACCAACTTGACTCAAGGTGTCCGAGAACATGAGGAGGCAGAAAACAATGAGGAACCACGAAAGAAGGAAATTAAGGTAAATATGCTTGACCTACACAAGGAAAATGTTTGTGTGATCACGGAGAACTGCTGTTGCCCAGAGATGGCTCAATCCAAATAATAAATGGAAGAGTAAGCCATGTTAATCTGAAAATACTCCAGTTTGTCATTTGTACTTTTTCAGACACCAAGGAAGTGAGCATCTATTTGAAGCTTGAAGTGCTGCAAGGAAGCTGAATTCTGTAACTGAGTGACTAATAAGGCTACACTTTTCCATAAATGATTGTGGCTGTAGCGTGGCCATAAAAGCTAAGCTTGAAGAATTAATTATCATCTGAACTTTGGGATGAAATATTGTTTTTATGTTGTGAGCTTCTTATGAAATCAAAATATAGTGGCAGAATTGCAAGTTTGAGTGTTGATACTAAATTTCCTAGAATAAGGAGGTTATTCATTTGCATGTGAGAAAGAATGACAGACAGTGTCATACAGACATAGTCAGAGTTGTTTGATTAGAAATTTATAACTGAGTAGACAGAAGTAGCTATTTAACCAGAAACACAAATGCTGGGAGATAGCAGCAGGTTAAGCAGCTTCAGTGGAGAGTCTAGATGACTCTTCATCAGAGCTGAAGTGTAATTTCTTTTCACTCCACTGATGCTGCCTGACCCACTGTGATCTCCCAGCATTTTTTTCTGTACAGATTCCACCATCTGCAGTAATTTGCTCCTACTATTTAACTGCTTGAACTTGTTCTGCCAATTGATGAATTCATGTGCAATCAGCAGCTTAACTCCATGTATCTAAAATAGCAGATGCTGAAAACCTGAAATAAAAACAATTGCTGGAGAAGCTTGGCAGGTCTGTCATTTTGGACTTAAAACATGAACTCTCTTTCTGTCTCTGCTGGTTGCTGGTCTGCTGAGTTTCTCCAGCATTTTTCTGAAACTCCACATACCTATGCTTTCCCCATATCCACAAATTTCTCTCAGCCAAAGATGCTAGTCAGTTTTATAATTTTAAATTACCAATTGACCTAGTATCAGTTGCCATTTGCAGATATGTTCTAATTCCTTTGTAACCACACTTTACATCAAGAACTTTCCTAATTTTCGTCCTGAAATGTTTAGCTCCTGTGTAAATCGTTGCATATAAGCAGATCCCATTTTTCTGGCCCCCAAAATCATATCCTTGTATATACTCGTGATTAAGTTGACTCGACCCTCCTGTCTCTTCAGCTGTAGCATGCTATACTTGCATTAGCTGTCAGCCTATGTTGTTCCACCCCACAAATGCATGTTTTAGTTCCTGGCACCTTTTTGTGACATGGGATCAGGCATGCAAAGTTCTGGCTGTCCTATTACAGAAAGGATATTATTAAGATGGAGAGGGTTTAGAAGAGATTTACTAGGATTTGCTGGGTATGAAAGGTTTGAGTTATAAAGAAAGGCTGGGACCTTTTTCACTGGAGCATAGGAGGTTGAGGGGTGACCTTCTGGAGGTTATAAAATCATTTAGGTGTATAGCTAAGGTGCATGGCAGGTGTTTTTTTTCCCGAGAGTGGAGGATTTCAAGTCTAGGGGACATATTTTTAAGGTCAGCGGAGAAAGATTTTAAAAAAAGACATGAGGGGAAAATTTTTTTACAGTGGTATGTGTGTGGAATGAACTTCCAGAGGAAATGGTAGGTGCAGATACAGTTACTTCGTTTAAAAGACATTGGGTAAGTAGATGAATCGGAAAGGTTTAGAGGGATATGGGCCAGGAGCAGGCAGGTGGGACTAGCTTAATTTAGGATTATGTTTGGCATGGACTAGTTGGACTAAAGGGGCTGTTTCTGTGCTCTCTGACTGTCTGTCACGCTCTGTTGCTCTGGCACTGTTGCCAAAATAGACGCTTAAGAAATACCCATTTGTTGCACCTGCTACCACTAACATTTTTTTTGAAAGTAGTGACCTACACCCACCCTGGTGTTACACTCTTACAGTATACATAAAAATTGGCTCTAGCTTTTGGAAGAATTTGAAGCTTCACCGGTCGATTTATGCTCTGAAATGTGTAATAATTATTTGACTCTGCCAACTAGTCCTAGACCACCCAACTAATGGAAGTACTTTTGCCCTGATCTGTCCTGTCTGTGTTCCTTAATATTTTTAGAAAGGTTTGATCAAATCACTCTTAAACTTATAGTTGTATTTCCTGGAATTCAGTATGACTTAACTGTGGGGCCCAGATTCATTGCTACCTGCAATGCCTTACCCCCCAACCACCCACTTTCCTGTACCCTCCAGCGCAGGATGCTGATGTGGATATTGAGTCTCTACCCTCTATGACACATGATTCATGGATCTCTGAAGAGTGGTGAACCATAGTCTGCATTTGGGAACACTTTTTTTTTGAAAAGTGAGATCAAATGGTCTTGCCCATTTGTTGTCTCCATGTCAACTCTTGTTCCCCATCTGTGGCCTCTTCCCCCGCTGCCAAGAATATCCGCTTATACCATCCATGTCAGTTAATAGCACTTTTATTTCTGTTTACCCAGTTTACTCTTGGTTACTACAAGATCCGTTGAATCTGTGCCATGATGTGTGCAACTGCTGACAACTAGGGAAACTTCATGTAGAACAGAGTACAGACTCCAAAGTCTCAAAGATGAAAATCTAACTCTTCTTCAGTTCACCTATTGTTTTAGTTGCCCTCCCTGTTTACCCTGCTGACAAGTGTTGTTTACAGTGCTTAGGTGTGTTCTGACCAAGGGTTTGAATAACTGAAGTTTTACTTCTGTCCCCTGGTATTTTAATACTTCAGTAGCAAAGCTAGAATTAAATTTCTGAATATTTATTTGTGTCTGTACTTGACGTTTTGTAGTTGTACATACCTGTATTCTAAGGCTCTTTGGGCCTTTGCTGTTTCTACTAACTAATCACCATTTGTTGTGAACATAGTTGTTGATGTGTGGCTTGCTGTGCTGTAAATAAACAGGGTGAATAGTTGAGCTTCCAATGTCGCATCTTTGAGTCACCACTTGTCGCATTGTGTCAATTACGTAGCTATCCATTATCCCGACACCTCCATTTCCTTCAGTTCAGCTAACCATAGCCAATAATTAAACTTTAAATTCTGTGGTCTTCAAGTTTAGCAAACAGTCTCTCTTTTATGAGAAACGTTCAGGGTATGAATGTACCAACCTTTCGGGTTATTGAAGTCAAAGCAGGTTTGTAATATGTGATTTTGTTGGTTCATGAGCATTTTCCGCGTGAAAACAAAATTCTGAATAAAACAAAAATAGCCATCATATACTAAAGCAGAGCTGAAATGTCATGACTGGAGACTGCACATAGGACAAAGATTCTCATTTAGTACTGATTTAATATAAGGTAGAGGTATGGAGATTATTTGCTGGAAAATGGATTAAATATTTTTGAGACAATCCAAGAACTACTGGGTAGTATTGAAAGTCCTGACCAAGCAACACAGCTCATGACCATTGCTCATGTGATCTGTCTTATGTGATAATGAGGTATAAACAACATGAAGGACTTTTGAATAGTGAGCACGCTCTGCTGGTTCTGTGCATAAAACCAGAAAATCTAGTTTTATAGTTTGAGTAGTCAGATGCTTGGCATGTCTCTTTATAGATTTAATGATTTTTCAAATACCCCTCTATTCCAGCAAAGGTAATTTAAACTTCAATGCTTAAGCTATGCACCAAGAACATTATAGTTCAAAACCCTAATCCTGTCACAAGAAAATACCATTAAATAGTCATTTCAGTGCGGAAGTCTTTTATTTTGCCAAATCTGATTACCTTGGGTCTGTACATTTCACAACTAAGATTGTCCTTGGTTTTCTCATTATGGTTACCATCAGATAAGAGCTACTATGATCAAATTTTCAAAAATATGTTGTTGGAGAACTATTAATCCCACCGTTTAAAGAATTAGCAGTATTTTATGCCTAAATTAATGTTTTCAGTGCCTGTGACTTCAGACGTCCACCTCCAGTTCACAATCATTGTTAGTGATAGGTTGGACAGGATTTTAAGGGAATAAACACTCAATTCCCAAGAAAATTGGCTTTTTGCAGGTATTGGTCTTGTCGAAGGTAACTGAGATCTCTACCACACCACTCCAGTACTTTAGTTTTACCAAATAGAGAACACGTTGACCTGGATGTTTTGGTCGCTGGTGAAGTAATGACAGTAGCTGTTGACCTTTGAAAGTTTCCCACAAAGATGCAGTGATCAGCGCACTAAACCAGGAATTCAGGAATACATTGTAGGACCTGCTGAAGGGGTTCTTGAGCATCCAGTAAAAATAGCGTTATTAAGCAGGCTATGTAGGCAATCAAATTAAAGAACTTGAAGATAGAGCAAGCTAAGAAGTTGCAATCAGATTTTTATTTTTGGTCCACTTTTCATAATTTGAATGCCTTTCTCAATCCGTCCTTCAAAGATTTGTACACCTGTACTCCAGCTCCCAGATCCTGTACTACTTTAGAAAATTGTATTGGTTCTCCTCATTCTTCTTACCAAAATGCATCTGAAATAACTTTACAGCGGCCGGTATCCCATCACCAAGTCACCTTTATTTACACAAGAAATAGTCCTTGACACTAGTCCGTCTTCCTCGGATCCAACTCTCAGAATGAACAGGACCTCTGACACTCCTGTTCATATCTGTCATCCAGGCCTCCCTGGTTGGGGCTGTTAACCTGGTCCAATCGGGTAACTTATATTCTATGAGGTCTGCCTGGCTGACCTCGTTACAATCACTACAGTATCACTTCAGATTTCTGTTGTGTCCACCAATTTCCCTTGTCCTCCTAAACAAACGTGTGTTGTTGTCTTCCCTACTGTTAATTACATTTTCAATTCTCGTGTCATTTGCAAACTTTGAAATAATGCCTTGTACAACCAAATTCAGGTTATCAATATATCTCAAAAAATAGTGGCCCTAATTTTAATTCATGGAGCACCACTCTGTTTTGAAGAAGACTGACTGGATTTGAAATGTTAACTCTGTTTGCTCTTCACAGA